TACTGCTTGTGTAAGTGTCATAATAATTGTGTGTTCGATTCTTTTTTTTAAATTACCTTCCTGGGCATTAAGCCATTTTTTTTTGTATTTATCTTTTCGCTGCAGAGTTAGGGAGGGTAAGGAACCAGGCTCTTCTCTGTGACATCTAGTGATAGGACAAGGGGCAATGGGTTCAAGCTGGAACATAGGAGGTTCCGCTTGAGTATGAGGAAAAACTTCTTTACAGTGAGGGTGACAGAGCACTGGAACAGGCTGCCCAGAGAGGTTGTGGAGTCTCCTTCTCTGGAGACATTCAAAGCCCGCCTGGATGTGTTCTTGTGTGATCTGATCTAGGTGTCCTGCTCCGGCAGGGGGATTGGACTAGATGATCTTTCGAGGTCCCTTCCAATCTCTAACATTCTGTGATTCTGTGATTCTGTGAACCACACCTTTGAAATGGTAAAAGTACAGCTGGTCAGGATGGGAGTGTGTAACAGAACAGATAAGTCAGCAAAGGTGAAGACAGAAATAATATAAAAATTGTTCTAGAAGAAAAAAGACTTTGCTATGAAAATATATTAAAATGTTTAAACTAGTATTAAGTTTCATTATCAGGTTATTAAAAAAAATACGGGAGTTATTCTGAATAAAGTGTAAGCAGCTACTACATTCTTAGGGGGAAATAGAAGCATTAACATTACCATCTCTTGGTTTGGTGCAGCCTGAAATCATTCAAACTTCAAAGTGCTGCGAAGTACTTCAAACCAACTAGCTTGTGCTTAGTTGAAATTACCGCAGAATTAGTTACAACAGATACCTGTCACAATAATAAACTTCCTGTGCACCAAAGCAACACGGGTTATATAACAAAGCTCTTCAAAAGATGAACTCGTAGCTCCAGTGGACCAAAGCTTAAGATCCTATAAAATTGTATCCGTAGTTGGAAGAAGAGTACCGTTTTACCAGCTTAAACCTATTCCAGTGAAAGTGAAACATTTCATAGCTCAAAGGCTACGATAGAAGCAAGGTCCTGTTACCGCCCTCTGGTCATGTTGCTAGAAAGTCTTCCCTGAAGAGAGGGGAGTGTTAACGTTTGCACAGAAGGCAATCTGCTTTGGCTTTGGGACAGCGCAGAATGGGCGTACATGTTGTTCTAGAGAATTCTGTGAGCTTGAATATTGGCAATTTTCCTGTTGCTTGAGTTCTGCTCTCTTAGCATCTGAACGTTGTGTCCTTCCTCTGCCACCCTCCTCACTACATAGATTTGGAACAGCTTGGGATCTCTTTTTCAGGGGTTTCAACATTTCATTATACTTATAAAGTACTTACCTTAGGAAAACCATAAAATATATTTTTAAAATACATTCCCCTCATCAGCTGGTATCACCATGTGACATATGAGCGGATTCTTACAATGCAGGTGACTGGTAGAAAGTCAGATATTGTAGGACTTGAAAATACAGAGAAACACCATGCTTTCAGCATTTGTTCAGACCTTTAACAGATGCCAACGCTTAGTTTGGTGAATTCTGCAACCTTAATCAAGAAAGCATTGATTTCACATAAACACGTGCTTTCCCAATAATATATTAAAAAAATCTTTAAATAATAAAGGTGTGGGGGTTCTGGACAATGATGTTCAGGGGTGTTTTGAAAAGAGCACCGTGCAGTGACATCAGAGCAAAGGATTGTCAGCACTGAAGCTGACTCCAGAATTTATCCTAATGGTAATGAAACAAGGTACACAGATTTAATATGAAGGTATTTTAATACTTTGCACTATGAAATAATCCACATAAATCTATTAAAGTGAATAAAATTCACTAAAACACTACATTGGATACACCTTTGCTGGCCACAGCTCTTCAGGGTCTTTTGGTCTCTATTGTATATCATTCTTTGGTTTCCGATTCTGTTTTAAAATACTGTAAGTTACAAAGCATCTTAGGTCTTATATTCATATATTTACAAGAGAAACCATTTCTTTTGGTAGGGGTTGTGTTCACTAATAAGGCTTCTAAAACAACATATTTACAAAGCACATATAACAAAGTAGAAGCTGCAGAAGGGTTATGGTGTGATAATTAAGTACAATGGCGACCCATATGAACAGAAAATGCCAAGGAGCTAAAACAAAGCAACAACAGCTTTGTTTGTTGACAGATGTAGGAGCCATATTGTTAGTTAATTGGGTAATGGTGTAAACATTTGCAAACTCTGCTGTCCCTCAGTGAATTCAGCAGCACACTGAAATTATGGTGAAAAGCTGCACAGAGCTGTTGCTGCAGGTACTCCACAATGCTTTCAGCTCGCCCTCGAGGAAGGGACATCATGCATTGTTATTATTTAAGGTACTTGAAGTTTGCAAACCTTAGAGCTTAGACTAGGAGAAGTATCTGGAATTACAGTCAGGTGAATAATAGTTACAGTCTGGAAGATTGTGTTCATTGCCTAGGCTTGCTTTTCAGACTTTTTTTTTTCCCAAATGTAGAGAAGCCGTGTTGTGTTCATTGCCTGGGCTTGCTTTTCAGACTTTTTTTTTTTTCCCAAATGTAGAGAAGCCGTGTTCTGTCTTTCCCAGCTTTTCTTGCAAAAAAAAGGTTGCAGGCTTTGAAAATAGAGAGGTCTAATTAGATACTGGGTTCAACTGCGAAGAAGGAAAATTGCTTCTCTCAGGTGCACAATACCTCATATGCTGTGAATTGCAGAGACCCCCATTTATCTCGCTTTCTGTGCCCATGTGCAAAAATGGACTGTAGCAGAATACCAAACATTAAAAAATGCAACAAGATGCTTAATTAGCATACTTCTGTAATCACAAACTTAAATGCACTACTTTGGCTGTTTTTTACATAACGGGTTTGCTTTCTAAGATAATAACCTTTCAATAATTCAAGCAGCATCTGTGCAGGAATGCATAATTGGACTGTAGATAATAGGAATCTAAAATTGAGTCTGGTTTTTATAAATTATTTTTCTCGTCAGACATTTAGCAATAGCTCACCATGGTACATGAAGTTTAAGAAAATATGTTCCTGCTTTGGGAATCAAAATAATGCATCTGTTTGGGTTTCTTAAATTGTTATTTTTTTTAAGATTCTGTTGCAGTCAGAGAGGTGAAATTACATTGATTTCAATGTACTTAAGAAGTGATAAGCTTTTAATATTTGTTTAAATAATAAATTTTCTGTAATTAGCCAATAATGGAAACACAAATATATTTTAGGTATGCCTGATTTAGCTGGGGGGAGAGAAAGAGGAACAATACTGGTTTTGTTAATTGGTAACAGGATTAGTAAGTTATGCTTTTAAGAAAAAAATACATTTACTGGTTCTTATTAATTCATTGTGTTTGGTGTGCTTGACAGTGTTTACAAAAAATAATTTTAGAATGCAGTGGCATGATACGATCATAGAAAAAACAAATGTAAATTTGGAAAAATGTTTATTGATATGCATTTGCATTTCTACCCATAGCATAAGACTAATAATCTATTATTCACAAGCAAACTTCTGATAACAAGTGCGCTCACACAGCACAATAAAGTAAAACAGAATTACCAGAGAAAATAAGTTTAAAGATGGAAATGAACTATTTCAGAAAATGGTAAGATTAAAGGAGACAATGTTTATCTTTCTATATGAAGGTTTGCAGTAGTCTTCTGAAGGATGTCACACTGTTGGCATGCAAACCTGAATGTCTGAAGGACACTAGGACACTTGTCTTCATTATTTTATCCATATAAATAATTATATTGTGTAATACTTACAATTATATTTTATTTTCAAAGAAGAGATTTGTCTTATAGGCGGCAGTCTAGCTTCTAAATAGAATCCTCAAAACAAAAGTTTCTGGCTGACTATAAACCGAGAATTGCTTCTGTGCCTCGAGTGAAAGTCAGTCATGGGTTAGTCAGGATGTCAAGTGGCTTGGAGGGTTTGGTGCTCAGATACAACTGCTGAAGAATTTTGGCAATAATGGTGCAGATAGTGCCTGTATCCATTTTTTCCAAATTGCACGGCATTTAACTCTCACTGGAATTCCCCTGTATGCCCACCTGCACAAGTGATTGCCTAAATACCTTTACAAATCCAACGAGGACTCAGGATTCCAGGGAACAATCCTGTAATAGAAATGGACACACATAAGTGTTTGCGTAAATGATATATAGACACACAGTACTTATAATGCACATATACATCTATATACACACATGTGTTGCAGGTGTACAGTTCAGTAGCTGGGTTGGGATGCAATGTCACCATACAGTGAGCTGATTCAGCATCTCACTCCCAATGAAAAGAAATGAAACCCTTCTGCTTACTCCTCTCTTTTACTCACTGCTTAGTGCTCTTGCTGCTCACCTTGCGCTGGATTTGGTGTTGACTGGACTTGTGTGTTCACCAGTTAAGCTCACTAGCATGATAGAAAAATAACCAAACAAATAAAAGTGGGCAGTTTTCTCCCAGCCTGGGTTCATTGAGGTGGCTGATAAGCGTCAAAGTGAGTGAAAGTGTTAAGTGCTTCACCGTGTGACCTGGAACAAGAGAGGGAGTAGGAAAACAAAGGCAGAATATGTTTCCCCTTTCAATGGAGATCACGTTGGATTGGCTATGCTGCTTGCACCATCAGTTTGATTGAAATTTTAGGATATTTATCTGGTACGACAGTTTTCTTTTTCATCTTAACTCATATGTTCTAGCAATCCTTCCAAAAGATCTTTGACCAAAACAGATATATTCACGCATTGGTTTACAGCAGAAACCCAGACCTTCTTGGAATTAACGTCGGGGATTCTGTTTGTTATTATTCTGTTTATTATTCTTACAAAATAATAGTAACAACAACACACAAAATACAATATATATTTCTTAATCTGCATGCTGGGAATACATACTCACAACTTCAGTTATCACTGACGGAGGGACTAAAAAAATCTCCGCAGTGAAAATCTGCCCTGTGAAGAGAAACAGTTCCAAAAAATCTGCTTACACTTATCTTCTTGTTCTTATCTTTACAGGTGACCCAGCTGGATCCAAATAGATCATTACTGGACCTAAAACTGTATCCTCAAGAAACCCTTTTCCTGGAGGCAAAAGAATAGATCAAACAAGATCATAGGACTGATCATCCTTTGACAAGCCCAGAGGCACAGCATCGAAAGGAAGACTTCTATCAGCGCCACCTTGTACTATCATCCAACTCAACTCAATGTCACAACTTTGCCTCTTGCAAGAATCCTGAAAAAGTTGAAAAAACATAGCTACTTAAAGTTTCACATACATGAGTATATGTTTCCAACCTCATTTAAATAAGCAGATAAAATTCTGCTATGAACACTGAACATTATGACTCTGTTGCTCACTTATCATCCAGCTTTTGTTATAATTAATGCACTGTTAAAATGTGAGTGATTGTTAAGTAGAATTTTTACTCCTCAAATGCCCCTTTTTCACCAAGAAATCTTGGACATTTCTGCCTGTACTTTTGACACTAGAATGCTGTATATTTGATATCTCGCTGAGCCAGTGCTCTCATATATATGCATTTTATTTCTGTGTTTGAATTTCTACTTTGTCAACTAATTTAAAAAGGCAGAAAAAAATAATAGGACATTCTCAGCCATGAAAATTTAACAGTATTATAGTAGAACGCATTAAATTTTTGTTAGTACTTTCTGACTTCTTTGATAAGATGTAAGGTTTTGTTTGAAGAAAATAGTTTGCTATATATGCGAGATATTTATTTACTGGTTCTGCTTTGGGTCTCAGTTCTGGTTCAGTTTAGGAAGTATTTTCCATTACATTGCAGTGTGTGAAACTGCTTATTGCATGATGTGAATATTTAAATAACATGAGAAATGGCCAGTACCGGAAACCTGGTATCTCGCCAACACTTCAGGAATCAGCTGATATTGAATATCAGATGTTAAAAACCTTTCAAATACCAGATACAAAAGTTCTTTATTTCTCATTGTGAAAGAAAGGGCAGTTCCCATTTTAGCAGTTTTCCTTCATTCTGGCACTTGTTTGTATCCTGTTACTCTGCTGTTTTAAAGCACCTTGTTTGTTTCATCAAACAATAAGTATCTTAAGAGGTGGTGTAATAAGAAATCTGCCTTATTATTGCACACTTTGGACATTTTAACAATAGATTACTGATCCCCTCTCAAATTAAAGAAATCCTAGTTCTCTTCTTGTCTGAAATGTATGCACCAACTACCTGCCAGCTGATGTGGAAAAATCTGGTACTTTAAATTTTTCAACCACAGCATAAGCATACTGAGTCTAAGACCATAACGTGCACTTGATGACTAACCTATATCAAAACTGGTTTGGTTAATTTTTTTTTTTCTTTCCTCTGGGCTTGCTTACAGGATAGTGCACAGTAGCACTACAGAATTGTCATCTGCTAATCAAACTTTTTTTTCAAAGCCTGGCACATTTTTTTCCATATGTGTTTATACGTAATTCATAGTGTTTATCATAGCAAAATGAGTTCTGATTTGAAAATTTTATACTAAGCAAAAACCAATTGCACACATCTTTTAGTCTTTCTTTTTTCTTTGGGAGGGTGGTGATATAAAATTAAATGTATGCCTATTATTAGGGTGTTAGTGAAGCAAATATATTGTTACCTTTACCAAAAATGCAAATTTCTGAGTGGAGAAAGCCTTATTCTACCTTTTGTAATTCTGTAGTTAGTGAGTGCTACATCAGACACTTTTAGAAGCGAAGTATCTACAACAAACAAAAGGTTTGGAAGTGTAAGCAAATTCTAATCATTTGCAGTTCACAAATAAAAGAATTCATAGCCAACAGAAAGATAAATGTATGTGTAATGGAAAGCTGAATGCAGACACTTCATGCTGAACTTTTGTTTTCTTACAAAAAAAAAAATCCACTATGTTTATTAAATAAGAAATTAACCTAGGTTGCAAATTGAGGTGATGCTGTTTCTACAAACAATCACAGTAACACATACAGCAGGATTTTAAAGTGATGCATATCTTTATTTTTTGTCAGATTAGCTCTTCCTTCTAAGCTGGCTATTGAGGAAGGGAATTGCTGAAATACTGCTACACAAAGCAAAGCGACCTTTCAGCTAACTTGTTTATATTAATCTGTTCTGTTTAACTTTTGTTTGATCTCATCAGGCTGTTTTCTCTCACTCAACTTTATTTCTGTATTTTGACTATATATTCTTTACTTTGATACTAGTTTCATAAAGTTATTAAATGTGGCTTGAATATTTGTTGAACTTGTTGAAGTCAGTGCTCCCAGGGTTTGTTTGGCCTTTTTTTTTTTCCTATTATATTTTCCCTCATTTTGTTCATATTGCAAAATACAGGGTCATTATCAAAATGTTCTAGTGATAATTAACTGGAAGTGTTCAAGGTGGCGGCATTGCTGCCCTCTGATATAAAGATATCACGATCAGTATATAGGGATCATTCTGCCACAACGTAAACAAGTGTATCACTCTTTAAATAAAACTTTGATGATTTTGGTCCTTCAATACTTCAGGCCTGATTTCAAGAAGCAACCACCTATAGAGTCGCCTTTCCAAATTCCACCCTCATCGCAAACCAGTCCCTGTGCAGAAACATTAATATTCTGTGCCATCATTTTCCGCTCTCCTAACCCATGGTATTCACTTCACATGCTCTGCTGCCATGGTTAATCCTCTCGTCGGTGTACAGACTCATTTTGTAATTCAGTATTACCCTACAGCGGCAACACTGTTGCTACAGAGCATATCCCTGATTCTACCTTTTTATCTTCAGGTTCTTCACGTTAATGGGATATCATTAGTGTGATTAATGCATTAGTTTTAAGTCTTAAGGAATTACTGTTAATGAATGGAATTCTGTACGATGTGTTGGCTTTCGTTACTGGCCTTCAGAGCATTACGGTGAAGGTGGGGGGCTCTCTGGCTTTTGAAGAAACATCCTGCCTATGCCATTGGTGTTCTGAATCCTTATCACAAAATACACAGAACACAAGTGTTTGCTCTGTATTCTCTGCATGTGCACTCTTAAATTTAGCGAGAGTGCTGAGGGTGTTTCTAAGGGAGCTGTGGCGGGGGGGTTGTTTATTCTTTTTAATGTAGCAGAAAAGGACTTTGGCTTTCGTAAACTGTACCTACTCAGTGACATTAGAAACTTAAAATAAATTTTCAATTACAGTAATATTTCTACTAAAAAGTGATATGATTTCACTCTTCCGTATGTGGGGAAAAACAAGCCTGCCGTGACTCAGATTCACAGAGGGACTGAAGCACTTTGTTACCCAAGCCTCATGTCCAGACTCCCTGAACAACACACAGGAAGATTTAGGTGCCTTAAAGTGGCGTCTGCAACAAGCAAAAAATAAGTACGTCTCCAAACAAAGCAAAGCAAAAACCCCACAGAATGCGCTTGAAAAGTCACTACCAGAAACCCAGAAACTGCTCAGTGCTGCAGGTGGAGATGTCCTGTGTGTCCCTTTCCTCGCTGGAGCTGAGGCTCCCTCCTCTCTGCCAGCTCAGGTGCCTCCCTCCGCTGCGGGGTCACGGCGCTGAGACCGTATGGCAAGGTAAGCACCAAGTCCTTTCTTCTAACATGTGACAAAACACAGGATACTTTTTATTTCCAAACAGCGATGGTGGCCTCCTCCTGGGTCTCCCCTGCAGTCTTCCCCGAATTTCTACTTCACATGAAATTTTCCCATATTGTGAGTCATTTGGGCCTGAAGAGGAGCAAGCCTGTGTGTCAGATGTTTCAGAAGACGTACTACAGGCTACTTTTGACGTGTGTACTCACTCTCTGCTGTCCACCCTGTTTGACTGTCAAAGTACGGAATTCTTCCAGCTTGTTTAAAGCGCAGGTGCGAGCAGGAGCATCAGCCTCCAGGTCAGCGGACAGGGTGCGTGCCTGGGGTGAGCCACCCAGCCCTTTCCAGCGACTGGTCATTGCAGTTGTTGGGTCTTTTCAGCCACATCCCGCCAAGGAGAGGCTGAATGTTTGTTCTGTACCCTAGTTACATTTTCTTATTCTATTTGTATAAAGAGAAGGCAACAGCAGTAGCCTGAATTATGTTTTTTTTTTTCTGGACAGGTCATGAAAAAAAGCAGAGATTGTATTGTACAGAGCATGACCTATCATTCACTACCTGAAACCATTTTCACACAGATGACAAATAGAGGAATACCAAATTTAGCACTAAACTTGTCGGGATCCAGGCAGTTTTATAGTTGACTTAATCTGGCGTGGATCCACAGCGCACCTCTGCCCCCATCTTGCGCTGGAACCAGGCAAACGAATCTCGTTAAAAACTAACCTTTTTTTTCCTGGAGTAGTTTTCAGAGTAGTCCAGCTTGCTGAGTGGCTGTATGTGCAATAACACCGACAAAAAGCAGGAGAAGGTGGGGCAGGCAGGGGGTGCATCATTAAAGATGAGAGGGGGAGGAAGGCAGGGCTGCTCCTTCTGATGACAGCGATGATTTATGTGGGATTATATTGATTGTGGCTCTCAAAATATTTTGTGAATGCCTTGTTATTACCTTTAAATTTTACATTCACTTTGCTTGAAATTGAAAAGTGATATTAAGTTTTTCTGTCTGAAGTTTCCATCAGTTTAGTGAAAGCCAGCAGCCCAGAATTCAAGCACAGGGAGCCGGCAGGAGGTACGGGGAGTGCGTGTGGTGAGGGCGAGGCTCACGCTAGGTCCAACTCTTACAGACCTGAGAGAGCAGCCCGAGTACCTACCTGCAGGAAAAAAGTGCCAACGGGATTTAATGTCTTGTTAGATACCAGGGAACTCACTCAATAGTCGGGGCTTTTCTCTGTGGATCCTTTTATGTGTAATAAAGACTGAAGTCATGCTGCAGCCCTCCTGGAACTCAGTGTAAATGTCACTCAACTGCTGGCTATAGAAGGAGGCTTCATTAATTCCCGGGCTCACAGAACTACTGGCTAACACAATCCTTATTTTGTACTTACTACCAATGAGTTTCACTTACTATTTTTCCAACTCTGTGTTCCGAGTCTTCCACAGGCCATTGCCATTCACTTTCCAACCAGACATCTTGACAGTGTTTGTGTCATTCAATAGCATCATCACC